TCTTATATTAAGTGCAACAAGGTATAAACCCTAAAGGTGTCGTGGCTCTTCTTACATTAAGTGCAACAAGGTATAAACCCTAAAGGTGTCGTGTCCCTTCTTATATTAAGTGCAACAAGGTATAAACCCTAAAGGTGTCGTGGCTCTTCTTACATTAAGTGCAACAAGGTATAAACCCTAAAGGTGTCGTGTCCCTTCTTACATTAAGTGCAACAAGGTATAAACCCTAAAGGTGTCGTGGCTCTTCTTACATTAAGTGCAACAAGGTATAAACCCTGAAGGTGTCGTGTCCCTTCTTATATTAAGTGCAACAAGGTATAAACCCTAAAGGTGTCGTGGCTCTTCTTACATTAAGTGCAACAAGGTATAAACCCTGAAGGTGTCGTGGCTCTTCTTTCCTGGTTGGGGGGTCGTCTGTGCACGTCAAAAGTGGGTCGTCTGTGCACGTCAGACGGTTGGTCGTCTGTGCACGTTTTTGTTGTGTGATTTTGTCATTGTAGCTCTGTAACATGATTCTTCCTCTAGCTTTTTTTAACATCATCACACAACTCATCAAGTTATGGTTTTTTTCCTCACATCTCTGTGTGGGGCTTTTGTTTTTATGTTTGTATTCCTTGCCTTCTCCTCCTTCTCCTCCTGAGTTGCTTCTTTCTCTCTCAACTTCACTCAAGTTGTCTCACACAATGCACACATTTCATCTCACACAACTCCTCTCATCTCACCAGTCACACAACTCATCTCACACAACTCATCTCACTCAACTCATCTCACACAACTCAACTCTCTCAAGAGCTGCTTTCGTGTGGCATTTGGTGGAGCTGCTTCGTGTTCTCTCACTGAACTTCACCCAAGTTCTTTCACACAACTCATCTCACAACTCACACAACTCATCTCACACTACTCCACTCATCTCACAACTCACACAACTCATCTCACGTATTTCCGCTCATCTCACAACTAACACAACTCATTTCACACAACTCCTCTCATCTCATAAGTCACACAGCTTATCTGACACAACTCATCTCTCACAACTCATCTCACACAACTCAACTCACTCAAGAGCTGCTTTCGTGTGGCATTTGGTGGAGCTGCTTTCGTGTTCTCGCACTGAACTTCACCCAAGTTCTTTCACACAACTCATCTCACAACTCACACAACTCATCTCACACTCCACTCATCTCACAACTCACACAACTCATCTCACACAACTCCACTCATCTCACAACTCACAGAACTCGTCTCACACAACTCCGCTCATGTCACAACTCACACAACTCCTCTCATCTCACAAGTCACACAACTCATCTCACACAACTCATCTCACTCAACTCATCTCACACAACTCAACTCACTCAAGAGCTGCTTTCGTGTGGCATTTGGTGGAGCTGCTTTCGTGTTCTCTCACTGAACTTCACCCAAGTTCTTTCACACAACTCATCTCACAACTCACACAACTCATCTCACACAACTCCACGCATCGCACAACTCATCTCACACAAATCAACTCACTCAAGAGCTGCTTTCGTATGGCATTTGGTGGAGCTGACTGAACTTCACCGAAGTTCTTTCACACACCTCATCTTATGCAGCGTCACATGTGGGGTTATCCGGTCCTTTTTATGCGGGGTTATGAAGTTGCCATTTCAAGAGTAGGGATGGAGAAAAATCTTGAGATTTTGAGTGGGGCAGTTTTGTAACTGATCATGAAAGAGCAGTGCGTGTAAGTGCTCTACAGCAAGAAAGATGATGAGGTTGCTGTGCGTGTGCAGGCATAGGAACATGAACCTAATTAACTCACCCCACCCCACCGGTAACTGATCATGAAAGAGCTGTGCCTGTCTCTGCTCTACGGGAAGAAAGATGATGAGGTTGCTGTGCCTGTGTGTGCATAGGAACATGAGTTATCATCCCACCCACCCAACCCCACCCCACCCCACCCCAACCCCCCGTTCACTGATCATGAAGAGCTGTGCCTGTTCTGCTCACGGGAAAGAAATATGAATGAGGTTGCTGTGCCTTGGTGGTGCATAGGAACATGAAACGGGTATCATCATCCCAGCCCAACCCCACCCTACCCCCCACCCCCCCCACCCCCCCACCCCCCCCCCACCCACCCCCCACTGGAACTGAAAGAGAGAAATTTACAGGTAAATCAGAGGTTTTTCGGCGCAAGTGATTGTCGACAAGTGTTTGGGTTAATTTTCGGTGTAAGTGGCCCCCCAAAAATTTCGGCGAAGTGCACATGGACCTTTTAGGGCCCCCCCACCCCCCCCAACCAAACCGAAATGGCTGGTTCCCAGCATCAATGTGCGCGGATGACCGCTCTTTGTGCGCGGATGACGCGGTTTCTCTGTGCGCGGATGACTCGTTTGCAATGTGCGCAGATGACTCGCTTTCAATGTGCGCAGATGACGCGTTGACCGCTCGGCTTACATTAAGTGCAACAACATATAAACCCTAGGCCCTAGAGGTGTCGTGGAAGTTTTTAAATCAAGTGCAAGAAATAGAGCCTTACTTTTCTCTTTATGCCCACAGTGATCCCATTTATGCCGAAAGTAAGTCCATTTATGCCCCAAGTGATCCCAGTTCTGCCCCAAGTGCGCCCGAATTTATGCCCAAAGTGAGCCCCTCGCCAACTCGGATCCAGTCCCATTCCAGGCCCCAAGGCCCCAAGGCCCCAAGGCACACAGGTCGCTCAGCAAAGAACATTGAAACATCTTGTGACTCTGTAGATCTCATGAGAAACATCACAAGTCTAGTAGCAAAAAGCCGCAGGGCTCTAGACAACTGCTGTTTACTGCTGTTGATACAAAATCATGTTGCAAATACAAAGTTGTAAAGCACAAAGAGTGAAGCAATTGAAACACAAACTGTTGGGTGTTGACAGGTCGGAAAAGGTCAATTCCATGCTGTGACAAGAATTCTGTGTCATAAACGAAACAAAGGGACGAGAATTCGAAGAGATTTCACAACTGCCCGAGGCCTGGCAACTGTGAAAACCTGACCCTGGCAGAAGTGAGAGGTACTGTCACATTTCAATGGGAACCCACGCGCAAGACAGTTCAATGTAGTTCATACATTGTTCATACATACGTAACTTGGGATGACCATGAGCGTGCAAGTGATCGGGGATTTCAGTGATACTGCTCTAGACAAGCTTTGGAGCGGGGAAAACTCAGTGAAAAACTAATTTGGCCTGATTCTTGCACTGCTCGGTTGGCAGACGTTGTGCGTTGTGCTCGTTTCACGTTTCACGGCTCAAAGGTTTCACACCTCAATGCTGTTTTTTGTCTCACGTCGAAAAGTGCTGGCTGAGCGCTGAGTCATGCTGAGTTCCCTGGTGGACGCGATTGAAACAAATTGAAGAACAAATTTGGCGGTGAAATACGGTGAAACTGCAACTCCTCCGTCAGCGAGGATATATGAAACTGTTCATCATGAAAAATTTCATGACATGTGCAGGTCCGTATCATCAACATGTGGCTGGTGGTGACTCCTGATTTTCTTCTCTGCGTTCTTTTCTCTTACTTTATGTCCCCAAGTTTCGTGCATTTCTTGACATTTGTGTGTACTTTTGGTGGGTTGTGAATTCTACAGTAGCTGTGTGTGACAAAATGGAACAAAACCAGAAAGAACACGGCGGATCGCCATGAAAAGGCTGGAAGACTTTGACAAGTTTTGACACCACTTTCAAAGATCAATGAAAACAAGTTTCCCTTGCTCATTCTGAACACAACGCAGCAAAGGCCACAAGACACTGGCAGGATGAATTAAGATGCTGATGCGGCCATGTTTTGCGTGCAATGAAACATCTTCGAGAGCTTGCCAGACATGGTCCTGTGCTGAAGTCAATTTTGTAGTTTGTCATTGCTGTCCGGACAGGGCCACTCGAGAAGTCCCCAGTTGGCGTCCACCAGACACATTGCCCCAAAATGCCTCAAAAATCTCCAAGTTCCGATTTTTTTCGTCCATTTGCGTCAGGTCAAGGGCCTCACGGGCGCGTGCATCTCGTGCCCGGAGGGCTGGGCTTTCCCAGTCCGTTTCGCAGCTCTCACAGCCCTCACAGCTCTCACTGCGGCAGGACGATTTTTACAAAACATCGGAGGCATTGCAATTTTCGTAAGATACGGCGACAAAAGCCATTCAGATTTTGTGGCGAGAAGTCTGTTTCAGGATGTATAGATGTTGTGGATTATGTTGTGGATAAGTGTGGATATTTTGGATGGAAGGGGTTCGTGTGGATCAGCGCTTGACAGGAGACTCCATATGCAAAGAGAGATTTGAGGTGCCACTCTGGCAGAATCTGATATGGACTCAGCTAAATCAACAGCCAAATCAGCGAAAGTTCGAGTCAACACACAGCATACGGAGCATACGGAGCATACGGAGCATACGGAGCTGACACAGCACACACACAGGGTTCCCACAGCTCCGTCGCTTTCCAGGCAGAGTTTCCACAGCTCCGTGCCTTATCCACTTCCATACCCACACACGGGCACCTTCCATGGATGGAAGTGGCGCAGTTTCTCAACCAACATATGTATGATATGTCCAGTGTGCCCAGCCATTGTGTGCCATCCGTTCAAAGCGGAACATGGCACAACGGTCGTTTTCTGAGCTCCTTTTCTTCCGATGTCTTCTTCGTTTTTTTTTCGTTCATCTCATTATTCAAAAGGTTCCATGATGTTCAGCCCAGGTTCCATGGAGATGAGAGCGAGAAGCGCTTGGAGATTCTGTTCGAAGATGCCACGTATCCTCCGTTGCACGATCATCATGTGATTTGAAATATTTGAGAATATTTGAGAATTGTTGTTTGTGTCACATAGCTAGAAAAGTCCATGAGAGTAAAGAAATGTAAAGAATATAGATGAGCATGTGTATCATCAAAAAGGAATGTAGAGGAAAGGAGAAGATCCCCTTGCGGATGCCCAGCCATTTGCAACGCTTTGCAACTACCGACCTTGCGTTTGAACGTATAACAATGGTAGAACTATATGTAGAACTATATGATGAAATATGTAGAAATGATCCGGCATGCAGAGTTGGATCGCTGCTAAGGTCAAAAGTGCTCCTATGTTGGAACTTTCTGTCCAAAGAATGGAAGGGCGGCCGATTTTGGTATTTGGAGATGGCAGGTGCGGATTGGGCCCAGCTCATTCTGCGGCATATAATTCCGCCATGTGCTGAAATCAGCTGAATCCCTGGTCTGAAAAGTTTGCGCAACAAAGTCGTGAGGTTTTGCACAACACACCTGCCAGGCATTGGCCGCGGCACGCTGTGTGCTCCAGCCGTTTGCTCCAAGGAGGAGATGGAGACAGAGATACAACGGAGCTTTTTGGCGAAGATGCGCCAGGCAAAGTGCAAGCGACGCCGTCACACATTGCGACATGCACGTTGCATCGCATTTTCGTTGTGAAATATAACGTACTGTATGCACATAGACATGCACGATGAGCCTTATACCTTGCTACGTTGTCCCGCAGTGTACGTGTGAATATTATAGCTACACAGCTACGCGCGCGCAGAAATGGATCTTGAACGTTGATTTTTGTTTAGCCTGATCATGAATTTGATTTTGCAAAAAGTTGCGTTTGTCACATATTTCCATCAGCTTCGGTCGACGTGCGGTGTTAAAATGTGTGTTTCATTGGTCAACAGGTGTTTTCATGTGGAAAATATTCTAAACATTAAACATCATTCAACATCATTCAACATTGTTTCCAAATGTTTCCAAAGTGTGCCGAAAGGACCAAACTGCAACGGCCACGGCCACGGAGCTGCTCCACTGGTCCGACCTGTCATTGGACTTCGTGGTCATCGGCGTGGACGGCTGCGGCTCCACGGCGCTGCACCGACATTTGAGGCGACACTCCCAGGACGGGGCGGCGTATGGATGGCGTATGGATGGGTAGGGCGTATGGCTAGGGCGTATGGCTAGGGCGTATGCCCCAGGTGTCCCCAGTCCTGTCGCAATGTGTTGCAAACTGGGATCCAGACGAAATTTGTAAGCACATTGACATCGGAGAGCACGGAAAGTACATGGAGCATATGAAGAACACTGATGGAACACTAGTCTAGCAGCATTTCTCGGACTGGAACGGCGGCATGTGGACTTCGCATTGCATTGAATGCGCGCTTTGATCTATGCACGTAGATATAATGCAGACAGCAGTGTGCGTATCCCTGGTGCTTTGCATCTTGCTTTGACGAACGCCGTGTTCTTAATATTTGAAGTGCCGCTTCATGGGTGGTGCTACGAGTGGGCACTCATCCCAGGATCATCATCCTGCAAGGCAGCCCCATCACTTACAGAAACCATGTCCGTGCTGTCACTTTGGAGTCGTTGGTCCAACCTACCAGGGTTAAAAGAGAATGATGCCAAAGCGCAATTCTATCATGCCAAGATATGCCAAGCCTGCGGGTGGACGTGTGCTTAAAAGGCAAAATGGGCAAAATGTGGAAGCCAATGCAACTTCATGTAACTGATCAAATCTGTACTCTTGGTATTTCTGGGTCGTGTTTTCAGAATCCCTCAACAGAGGCCCTGAACTCCAAAGAGAACAATCGAATTGAAGTATCCCCCAACCTCATTACACGCAGCTTGCCATGCCCCATAAAAGAAGGATGGCCATTGGGCCGTCCAAAGTTCAGTTTGGTGCATATCCCTCCTGACATTTGTGATAGATTTCAGCGTGCTATCTGCAAAGCCCGGAACGAACCACGTCGTTGATGCCGCTGTTGTAATTTTCTCCGGGCTATTCTACGCGGTCACAATTTGCATATGCGTTTTCGCATCTTGCAAACATGTGGCTTATAAGCGCTGTGCACCTCTACCTCAAGAGATGCTCTTTACCAAGCTGGACTAAACTTGGTGTTTCAGCTTCTTTGGCTACCCAGTTCAGCCACATGGCGTGGATAAGAGTTGCTCCATGGACATGGCGCCGTAGTGTAACTGATAAATGTTGTTCCTCTCTTGATCCATCCGCACTTTGACTCTGATGATTCTGATGGTGATTTCATGTGTCATCGCTTACAACGAACAGCGATGTGAGGCTCGTAAGATGGCCTCTCACTCATCTCGCAGTTTTGCTACCTTCAAACGATGCAGTCAGTGCTTGGCAGATCCCGGCGCGCAAGCACCTTTAAAACGTTAGATATAGAATGATATAAGCCCCCCCAACGAAGAATCTTGACTTTGATTCATTGTCTTTCTGTGCCAACTCCTGCTGAGAGTTTAGTGTGAGCCTTCCTTGCCCATTCTGAATGTGCATGTAGACAGCAGTGTATGACAGTCATACATCCCTGATGTACTGCATGTTGATTTCTCAGCTGTTGGGCAATTCATATTTGAAATCCCGCTTCACGGTGTTACTAGTGGGCACTCAACCCAAAATCATCCTGCAAGATCCTGCAAGGTGGCATTTACGAACTTCTCGGTCTTCAACGTGGATGAAGATTTCTTTCTCCAAGAGATGGGCCGGCAGACGCTACCCTTTGCACCGCAGGTGCCAATCAGTGAAGCTACAGAACTGGTGGAACTAAAACAAATCTGTCTTTATATCTGTGATTGCGATGAATAGCATTGAAGCCGATCAAAATCTTGCTGATGTTAAGTCATAGCACAACGGGGTTGATCAAATGACCATGTAACATCCAGTGCATATGTGTGAAACGTTTGAGAAGATGTGAAATTTCTATTCATTTGTCCAATTTGCGGTGCCTGTGCCAAAGAAACTACGCACTGGATCACGCTTCACACGTTGAACTGCACATATTCCACACTTCACACACGTCCACTCCACACCACACCGCAAACTCTACACACCACGCTTCACACTCCACACTCTACACACGCCAAACACTTTGGAATCTACACCCGACACTCCACACTCTGCAATCTGAACCCTGCACACCATAATCTATTCTAGACTTCAAGTGGCCTCCCCCTCTGCACTCTATTCACACTCCAGACGCCTTTCAGGTCATCGCTTGGCACAATCGCATCATTTTAAGATATTTTAACAAGATGGGCCAAGGTTGAAAGAATCGGGCAAGGTCGAAAAAACATCATCAAAGGTTGAAAAAGGGGGTTCCCTTCTGTTTTGGTTTGCATCAGCAGGCTTGTCACGCGGAAGCACGTTTGGCTACCTTTGCAGCCACGCAATGCCACGCATATTGGAATGATTTTTGCTTAAAGCTCCCTCCCTCTTCGATTCGGTTTGCCGTCGCTTCTCGCAGTTGTCAAGGTGCTCATGCATTGTGGACAAAGAGGTGGGTAGTCTATCCCGTACCTATAGAAGGGGCATATTAAAATCATATTGATACATTTAATACATATATATATAATATATTTATACGTATTACATTTGTGTTATTATTTTACCTTTGTGCTATTATTTTACATAATGTTACAACACATGTTACACATAGCTTGCCGATACATGTGATATCATTGAAACATGTGATGCTGTTTATCCTCTTTGCGCAAGGTGGAACGCCTCAGAGACTTTCGGGCGAAGCTCCGCCAGCAGTGCTGCGGCAGCACCGTTCTGACATGTTTTGACAGAGGCACCTACTGATGGATAATTGATGATGGAATGATATGGAATGTCTAATCGCACACTAATCATTGTACGACTTGGGCAAGCACGAAAGAATACAGAGTCACAGAGCACAATACATGGGAAGATCGAAGACGCAGAAGTTTTCCCTTGCGTTTTGCAGCAAGGAAAGTGGGTCTCTACCAACCATGGATTTGGACAGCCACGACTCTGCTGAAAGCGTTGGCATACAACCGACACTTGAAGCTTCGGCAGCACAGCGTTTAGCAAAGGGGCAAGGTGCAAATCTGAGTGCCGCATCCTATTTGCATAATTTTCAGAAGTTTTCTGCGCCACGGCATTCTGAGGAAAGTGGTGCTATCACTGTGCGACCCGCTGGATCGTTTCGAAAAGCGCTTGCACGGGAGCCTGCCGCGGAATGGAAGCATCAATGATACGAAGCTAAAGGAGGTTTTCTACTCATTACTCAAGGACGCTTATTCCGGACCAGGAATGGAACTTCGGTTGAATTTGGAGGGTTTTTGTGAGATTCGATTCGAGGTTGCGTTCAATCAATGCGACCTTCTGAAAAACTGATAGAAACCAGCTTGCAATCTCGTTTTCTGCAACTTCAGTGCAATTGTTGCCCGGTTTGCCTATCTGAACTCCATGGGGCAGATGTAGATTTCGGGATTGCGCAAGGTCCGTATGTGGCAGAAGTGGTTGGAGGTCTTTGGGAATCGTCTCCTTGTGGTTGAGAAGACGCTGCTGAGCAAAGCGACGACGTTTCAACGGCTCAGCGATTTTCTGCGCATCCGTGGCTACCCCAAACAGGCGAAATTTCATCGCTACAACTCGCAAGGAAATCGCTCCAGTTCACTCTGTCAGCACGTGGATTTGGTGCGTGAACTGAAGGAGCCTCGGCAATTTCGGCTATGGCAATCAGACACTTCAACTCCTGGGCGTAGCCCGCAGAAACAGAAACAGAAACAGAAACACGCAAGCGGGACCGGCACGACAAATATAATTAGACAGATTGCACAAATTTGCACAAGGTCGTTTTCAGACGTTCATGGTTCGGTTTGTAAACGTCGAGATTCGCTCGTTTGTGTGCCCCCAAAGTGCCATGTGATCTCTTTCCTCTGCAGAAGCCACCCCCATTGAGGGTGTTGGTCCTCCCACCTCACCCCACCAAACTCAAGCCTTTGGTAAGTCTTCCCTTAAACTTTGGTGATGACTGGTTCCTTCTGCCCCCCTCCATCCTGTGGCCCTGTGGTTAGGAAAATTGAGGCCTTTTTCCTTTAAGAAACGGCAGCTTCTTCAAGTTTCTTTGTTACCGTTAATTTTGTTTTATCACATGAACGCTTTCCCTTCCCTGAATATTCATGGCCCTGGCTACATGTTGACCCCCAGTCACAAGAAAGGAAAGTGCTACAGAAATGCTCTTCAGTAAAAGGTTTGGATGATCCATCGGAGAAATGGGCTCACCCGCGCCCTAATTAGAATCAAAAACATAGCATATAACAATGTATATATATAATATATATAACTATTTTCATCATTTTCTATATTTTCTGCGTTTCTCTCCACAATACCATCCACCCCTGCGCTTAATCCTTCCACACTATTGTATCACTTTGCCTCCGCATCTCCCTCCACCCCACCACACGTTGCTCAAGGAACACAATTTGAGAGGGCGAACTGCAACAGTTCAAGTTTCTGCAAGTCAGCTATTGAAGGCTTCACAAGCAAGCTTAGCTTTAACAAACATGACCATATATATAGCCAAAAACATTGTTAAATTCAATTGTTCTTCTTTCAGACCAACACTATCATGAACGAATCGTGACCAGACACTGGAACATCAAGTTGTTTTGTCCTTTTTGGGCATCTCTGAAAAACATTCCGCGAAGCTTCCCAAAACCTTTCCCTTCAGCCCCTGATTTCTTTTCATTTATTTTGAGGGCGGCAGGAACGTCCCCCAGAGCTAAAGTTGGATTGGACCATGTCACCGCGCTGCTTGTTGGCGGTTTGCCGCGTGGCATATTTTCTGAGGTCGGAATGTTAGTTTTGTCAAATTGAAAGCGTCGTCAGTAAAAACATGGTTATCTGTTTTACCTGTTGTTAGTTGTTTAAGATTGTTTAAGTATATCTCATCTCATCCCACTTGAGCTCTTGGTCTCATCTCATCTGGTATTTTCTCATCTCGGTTTGCTTCATCTCTCATCGAACTCGTCTGCTTTTTCTCTTCGCACATCTCCATGAGACGTGTCCCCCTCTAGCTCCCATAGCCTGATCTCACGCGCATCTCAAATTTGTTTCGAGAAGTTGGGCAACCAGCGACTGAGTCATGAGGTGACGGCCAAACCGCTGTTTGAGGCAACACCAAAGAACCACGAAGCACAAAGAATGCTGTGATTTAGAACATGTCCTTGCAATCAAATATCCAAAAGACAGCGGAGAGTTTGCAATTGACAGATACTCACTTACAGCATGTTCAGTCAAACATGAAAAAAGACAAATCCCGCTGGAGTCGCTGTGTGGAAGTGGGTTGTCCAAAGAGGAGCAGAGGAGAGGAAGACAACTGACACCCAGAGCCCCATTCCTGGTGAACCTGTGTTTGAACTTTTGAACTTTTGGTGAGAAAGCGTAGGAACTGCGTAGTTGTTTTTGGCTTCGTTTCTCAGGAGCGCTTTGCTTTGGAGTATAAGTTCCTGAATTCTTTGGATGCCATTCGCACGGAGAGGATTCAAAAGCGCCTCACCCACTGTGAGAGGCGCAGGGGTGCACCTGGACAAACCTGTTAATGCCAGAATTCTTCTGAGTCTTTCGTTTTGCAAATGCTTTAAAAGGCCGTGACTTGAGCGCACATGGCAACTTCTCAGGATTGTGTTTGTTTTTTTTGCCGAGGCCCTCCGTGCTGGGAAGCAGCTGCGTCAAAGAACGCTGCCTTTCCTGATGTCGCATAGATCGCAAAGAAGGTGCAGTGGCAGAGAGACAAAAAAAACACGGAGTTGCGCAAGGTTTTGAATGTGAAGGAAGCGGACCGCGCAACAGATTTTCATTCAAAGCAGAACCGTGACAAGACAACACGGATACAACAGGGATACAACAGGGATACAACTGGGTTGTTCTTGAGGTGTGTGCTTTTGCGTGGGGCGTGGGCTGTTGTTTTTCTGCCTTGCATCCCTGCCTCCTTCCCCTACTCCTTCTATTCGTCCTCCTCAGGCTCCTCTTCCGTCTCCAAATTTCTTCCTTCCAGAGCTATTTTTGTCCTATCAATAAATTCAAATGATCATGAATCCGAATGAAACCTATGAATGATCTTAGCTGTCAAATTTATGAACTTTGCGACAAAAGATGCCCTGAATTTGATGTTTGGTCCTTGCAGGTGCCCCACTTTGATGGGGCGCATGGTAAACTGCGAAATTGTATGAAAAGAAAAACAAAATCACTTGGTGATTGCTGTTTTTGTCTTCAAAAGCCACACCGTTGTGTGTTGCGTTGTGCTTGTGCCATGTTGCGTTTGCCGAATTTCCTCTGGTTGAGGACAGAAAAATCACTTGGTTTGGCAAACTTGCCAGACTTGCTGAGACTTGCTGTCCCCTGAATTTCGCGTCGAAATTTCTGTGTTTCTGCATCTCTCGAGCCTTGGATGGGCAAACATGGATCATTTTTCCGACCAGCAAATCAGCCCATGGAATGCTTCGCAAGTCTCGATTCTACTTCTAGCATCTTTACCTTGCTGATCTCTTTACCAACCCTTATATCTCTGTTCTGGTATGTTCTGGTCTATCTCAACATCTCCTTTGTTCTCCACCTGAACTGATCCTTCTCAACTTATCTCTTTCTATCTCGTCTGAGCCGATCTCTTTTCCCCTTTCGTCCCCTTTCTTTACGTCCTTTTGCCCGCATGCCTTCTTCCTTGTTTGTGTCAGAATGTGTATTTGTTTGCTGTTCTTTCTCTCTTTCCAGGGCAGTTTCTCGCAAGGAAAAGCAGCGATTTCGTGCTTTACTTTTTTCAATTGAGACTATTTGAAGATTGTTGAAATCGTGGTCGGCTTTTAAGCTTCGGGCGGTGGTTCGCGACTTGCCCGGTCTGTCTCCATGCTGCAGTCCGAATCTGCGCCAGAGAACACAATCACGAAATGGCCACGTCAGGTGAAGCAAGTTGACATTACATGTGCTGTTCGCCCACGACAACGTTCTTTTTGTTTCTTAAGGGACCTAAGGGAGATCTGTTGAGATAGCTCGAACCCAGAAGGCTCTCATACCTCCGACATTTGGGAATACAGTGGCTCTCAGCTAGCAGGGGACAGAAGAACAGAAATCTGTTTATGAAAGAAGACAGAATGATTATGAAATGACCATGAATCTATGAACCACTTGTGGGTTGAAACTGCAGGAAGTGCCATGTGCCGCCCTGTGCGTATTGTCGTGCACGCAGTGGGGCGCACGAGGCCATGTCTTGAAGCGTGCGGCTTTGAGCTGTGGCAACATGATGCAACATGCGTTATTCGTCGCAGTGTAAATGAGAAAAAACCCAGTTCAAACATACGATGCATTCAGGTGCCATTCAAACTCCTGTTGTAGGGAACGTGGCGGCCCGATCACAATCCTGGCGCGGTGTGACTTTGTCACGGCATCATGCAGCATCTCAAAACCAGTATAAACTTGACTTCCAGGGCACGAGAGTTTGCCGAAAAAGGCGGCCTTAACAATGTTTTTTGGCCACCAATTCAGCATAATTCGGCTATCTTCCTTGTCTTCCTTATTACTTAGCTTCGGCAGGGAGAGAGGATGGGAGACTTTAGCAGCGTCCGAATACGAGCGAAGACTGTTGCGGGGCAAGCCGCCTATCCTGGTGCGAACTACTTTCTATTCCACAGGCCGCAGCCATGCTGTGTGGCCAGGATTCGTCTAAAGAATGCGTCGTAGAATTGCTGAGGCTTAACGAATCTTAACGTGAGTCGTGTGAACTTCCTGCTTTCCCAGTCAGGATTTTCAGCAACTATACCGTATACAGAGCATGTTCAAAGGAAGTAGATAAGAAACTTCCGAGTTACGGACACATCAAGAAGCAATCTTATACATGTCAACCATAGTGTCACGCAAGCGCACAAAATCCAAGATAACTTCTGGAAGGTGAGGAGGGGAGAAGTGCGGGAGACTGCAGCAAGAGCTTGGTATTGAAAACAATTCCAAAACACCACAATCTCCGACCACGGAAATTGCTGGTATTTCCTGGTGCCTTTGGCTGGGCCGTGCTATGCAGTGAGACCGGCGTTTTCGATATGTGGAGCAGCTGCGCAAGGACAATTCTGTTTGCCAAACGTGGTGGACCGGCTGCGCCAAGGATAGGTTTAGAAAGTTTAGAGTTTAGATTTGGCATGACCTTCGTAGCTTGAGGTTGCTACATGCATTGTCGCAGTTGGGCAATGAGAAAACTGGGTTCCTTGAAGACATAGTTGAGAGTTGGGCGAGTCAGCCGGCAGTTGTCCGAGTCAGGCAACTGAGTCAGGCTAACGAGTCAGCTCCTCACAATAGCTGAGTCACAACAGAACCAAGGCTGAGTCAGGTCAAGAATATAACCAAGCAAAACAATCACCCCCCCCACACACCCACACACCCACACACACCCACACACACACCCCGCACACCCACCCCCCCACACCCACACACACACCCACACACACCCACACACACACCCACACCCACATTCACACTACACCCACCCCCACAAACCACCCCCAAACCCAACCCCAGTTCACCCCCACCAACACCCACCCCCACACACCCCCACACACCCCCGCAATTCAATAGCCGGCCGCGGCGCCGCCAAATGGCAGAAGTTTGCTTCCAAAAGGCTCCCGGCCAGAATTTGGCCAAAAACGACCGTTTCCCAATGAGCCCAGAAGAGAAATTCAATAGCCGGCCGCGGGGCCGCCAAATGGCAGAAAGTTGCTTCCAAAAGGCTCCCGGCCAGGATTTAGCCAAAAACGGCCAATGGCACTGGAGACCGTCCTGCTTCAAATTGAAATGAGAAGGGGCAGGGCCAAAATTAGGGTCAAACTTATCGTCCTGGAGACCGTCCCGCTTCAAATTGAAATGAGAAGAGGCAGCGGGCAGGGTCAAAATTAGGGTCAAAATTATCGTCCTGGAGACCGTCGCCAAATGGCAGAGATGTGCTTCCAAAAGGCTCCCGGCCAGGATTTGGCTAAAAACGGCCGTTTCCTAATGAGCCCAGAAAAGAAATTCAATAGCCGGCCGCGGGGCCGCCAAATGGCAAAGAGTTGCTTCCAAAAGGCTCCCGGCCAGGATCTGGCCAAAAGCGGCCAATGGCACTGGAGACCGTCCTGCTTCAAATTGAAATGAGAAGGGGAAGGTTAAAATTAGGGTCAAAATTATCGTCCTGGAGACCGTCCCGCTTCAAATTGAAATGAGACAGCGCAGGGTCAAAATTAGGGTCAAAATTATCGTCTTGGAGACCGTCCCGTTTCAAATTGAAATGAGAAGGGGCAGGGTCAAAATTAGGGTCAAAATTATCGTCCTGGAGACCGTCGCCACATGGCAGAAATTTGCTTCCAAAAGGCTATCGGCCAGGATTTGGCTAAAAACGGCCGTTTCCTAATGAGCCCAGAAAAGAAATTCAATAGCCGGCCGCGGCGCCGCCAAATGGCAGAAGTTTGCTTCCAAAAGGCTCCCGGCCAGGATTTGGCCAAAAACGGCCGTTTCCCAATGATCCCAGAAGAGAAATTCAATAGCCGGCCGCGGGGCCGCCAAATGGCAGAAAGTTGCTTCCAAAAGGCTCCCGGCCAGAATTTGGCCAAAAACGGCCAATGGCATTGGAGACCGTCCTGCTTCAAATTGAAATGAGAAGGGGCAGGGTCAAAATTAGGGTCAAAATTATCGTCCTGGAGACCGTCCCGCTTCAAATTGAAATGAGAAGGGGCAGGGTCAAAATTAGGGTCAAAATTATCGTCCCGGAGACCGTCGCCAAATGGCAGAAATGTGCTTCCAAACGGCTCCCGGCCAGCATTTGGGTAAAAACGGTTATTTCCTAATGAGCCCAGAAAAGAAATTCAATAGCCGGCCGCGGCGCCGCCAAATGGCAGAAATTTGCTTCCAAAAGGCTCCCGGCCAGGATTTGGCCAAAAACGGCCGTTTCCCAATGATCCCAGACGAGAAATTCAATAGCCGGCCGCGGGGCCGCCAAATGGCAGAAAGTTGCTTCCAAAAGGCTCCCGGCCACGATTTGGCCAAAAACGGTCAATGGCACTGGAGACCGTCCTGCTTCAAATTGAAATGGGAAGGGGCAGGGTCAAAATTAGGGTCAAAATTATCGTCCTGGAGACCGTCCCGCTTCAAATTGAAATGAAAGGGCGCAGGGTCAAAATTAGGGTCAAAATTATCATCCTGGAGACCGTCCCGTTTCAAATTGACATGAAAGGGTGCAGGGCCAAAATTCGGGTCAAAATTATCGTCCTGGAGACCGTCGCCAAATGGCAGAAATGTGCTTCCAAAAGGCTCCCACCCAGGATTTGGCCAAAAACGGCCGTTTCCCAATGATCCCAGACGAGAAATTCAATAGCCAAATGGCAGAAAGTTGCTTCCAAAAGGCTCCCGGCCAGGATTTGGCCAAAAACGGCCAATGGCACTGGAGACCGTCCCGCTTCAAATTGAAATGAGAAGTCGCAGGGTCAAAATTAGGGTCAAACTTATCGTCCTGGAGACCGTCCCGCTTCAAATTGAAATGAGAAGTCGCAGGGTCAAAATTAGGGTCAAAATTATCGTCCTGGAGACCGTCCCGTTTCAAATTGACATGAAAGGGCGCAGGGCCAAAATTCGGGTCAAAATTATCGTCCTGGAGACCATCGCCAAATGGCAGAAATGTGCTTCCAAAAGGCTCCCGGCCAGGATTTGGCTAAAAACGGCCGTTTCCTAACGAGCCCAGAAAAGAAATTCAATAGCCGGCCGCGGCGCCGCCAAATGGCAGAAGTTTG